TGGAGGCTTTGAAGCAGAGGCGGGATGGCCTTCTCTTGGGGGTGCATTGTCATGCTTCTTGGCAGAATGGGGTGGGACTGGATGGCCCAAGAGGCCTCTTCCGACTCTATGGAAGTGCGCCAGGGTGCGCTGAAGGAACTTTCTGATGTGCTCTCGGGCGACTGGACAAGAGTAAAGATTAGCCTTCTCTTCCAAAAGGGCAAAACGGAGGAGCCGGGGAAGCACAGACCAGTCAGCCCGACCTCGATACCTGGAGAACTATGAGAACAGGTCTGTTTGTTTACCCAGCCCACCTTCACCATTCCCTCAATTCCAGTGCTGCTAAAATAACCTTCCAGTTACAACGGTGCATCTTGGGTTTGTCAAGAAGGGATTCTGCCGAATCTTTTCGTGGTCATGCTGTAGTTCTAAGATGCAATGGCATCCTGCCCTGACTTTGCACATCTACAGACACAAGCGGTTTCAGAGCGCTTGCGCACACAAACCCATCCCTGGACCGTCTGCAACAGCTGGGGTGATTTGCACCCACTGCACTTCTGAAAGGCCACGCTTTGCCCACGCTGAGATCTGCCAAGAACCAGCTCTGGTTACCGATGTTGCTAGCTCTCTCGTGCCACGGCACAATGGGCATGTGCACATGGGCTCAAAGAACGAGAGTGCGAGTCTCCCAAAACTGGGACAGCCACGTACACTCCCGGCAGAGAAATGTCCCACGCTTTCTGTTTCCGAGGAAACATTTGGGGACGGGGGACGGGGGGGGGGTCAGAACAATGCAATAAGAAAAGCTTTTGTTTTGTTATTTTCACACAATCCCTTTGAGATGATAAACAGGATGTCACACAAGAGGTAGTTTTGTTATGGAAATAGAGTCAACAACGTTATCAACAACTAGTACAAGACGATTTCATACAAAGGAAAGAAAGAAAGAAAAATGTCTCAATCACAAAGGCGGCTCCGTTGAGGTCAGTGGGTGCCCAGATGGGGTGGCTCTTTCGTCCAGCACGAGGGTCAAGGGGGGAAGTTTCTCACCCACTGGGGTGTCGTTGTGGCCCTCTTGGGTACCCACACAAGAGGCTTCAAAGGACAAGGGAAGGTGATGAGTAGGCCAAGGAGGAAGCATCCTCACCTGGATGACAGCAGCAACCATGGGCATTTCTCTGGATTCGATTTAAATACATATCCCTGAGCGTCCGTGGTCAGCCTGGGGGGCGTGCACGGGGAACCCAGGAAACACCAAAGGTCTACACTGCTGCCACCCATCCCTGGACCACCACCTTGGACTGACCTCCTGCTACACCTGAATACAAGGTTCAAAGGACCCCAACCATGTTTGCTTTATGCTCCACCCAGAGTCCTTGCCCACTTCCCACCTCCCCACCCACCCACCCACCTGCCCGGGCAGTCCTGATTGCCACATCAAAGCCTGAGAAAGAGAAGCGGTGCCACCACCTTGGTCTCTGCCAACTGTGCAACCCCCTTCACTCCTGGTTCGGTTGGCTCAAGATGAGGTAGAATGGTGGTGGCACGGGGGGGGGGGGGGGGAGAAAAGAGGTGCTAATGGATTCCCCCACCCACCCACCCACCAACCCCCAAAATCCTTTTTTTTTTTGGTTGTATTTTCATTAGAAATATTTTTAAAAAAAGAAATTCAAGTTTATAAACAACAGAACAGAACAAACAAAAAAATGATTTGAAGGACGGAACGGAATGGCAAAGGGAGGGAATCTGATCCTACGATTTGACTTTGGAAAGTTAGGAAAGTTAAGAAAGAGGAATCTTTCTAGTCTTAGCAGCTTCTCTGTGTGAGTGTGGTTGTGGGGCAATTGCCTGGTGTCTTCCTTGCTTCTACTCGGATGGACAGATGGGTGTTGTGTGTGCGTGTGTGCCCGTGTGATGATGGGATAGAGCAGGGGTCCTCAAACTACGGCCCGGGGGCCACATGCGGCCCACCGAGGGCATTTATCCGGCCCGCCGAGGAGGAGGCCTCCCTCTCAGAGGTAACTCAGAGCGCCTTTCATTCTTTTTGTCTCACGCTGCGTGCCAAATTTGGTTGAATTCCGTTGTTGGGACAGTTCAGAATGATATTTGATTGCAGGAGCGACTGCAACTCCTGAGTATATTCCTCCCCACCTCTCCAGTATTTTCTGTTGGCGCTGAAAAATGGAGTGCATCCGCACTGCAGAATTAATGCAGTTTGACACCAGTTACAAAAGTCTGAGGACCCCTGGGAGAGAGGGCGATAGAGATCTCTTCCAAAGCGAGGAATAGGTATTTGCATAGAATCATGCTCTGGACAAAAATGATGCTTTGTTGGGAACCTGGCTGCATCCCATTGGGTGGTTGAAAGCCAGAGCTCAGAGCAACTCGGGAGTAGCGAGAGGAGCCAAAGGCCACGAATGCCACCCCTCTTCTCCCCACCCACTTCCACCCCACCAGCCCCGGTACAAGCCTGAAGTATGCCATGATCCTGCAGCACATTTGCAAAGCGCCTGCTGAGCACAGAACGGTACAAAAACAAATCCTTGCAGAGTGTCCTTCAAACCAAATTCACAAATCCATCTAGCGAGTGACCTACGGTCTCTACACCTCTAGCTACATTCCTATTTTCTTCACATAATACCTGAGTCCGCAACACATTACATTCACTTTACCCTGTTTCAAAACAAAAACAAAACACCCAAGCCGTGAGCGGACTTGGTTTCGGGAGGCATAAATGGCAGCCCAACGAGTCACCTCCTGGCTTCCTACCTTTGCCTCTTGGCTTATGCCCGGATTCGGCTCCCAAAACAGAGGCTGTGGGTCAAGGGAGGGGGCTGTCAACACAGAAAAATGGACCACCAGCCGCAAAGGCCGAAGAGCGGCAACGCAATGCATCTCTCCTGCTAAAGTCAAGTCACTTTTGAAAGGTTTGCTGTGCCTGCGAGAAAACGGAACGCTTCCCACAGCCGTGGATCGATCCGTTTCAAAACTGACCCTTGTTAGCCACAAAGGGGGGGGGGGTGGGAGTGGGGGGGGGGGGGTCAGCTCCTCATTTTGTGCAATGTATTCCCCTCCCTAGCAAACCCGGAAGGGAACGTAATCTCATTGGAGGTATTGTGGACCGCTTTCCCAAAGTCATCACAACGATGATAATAATAATAATAAAAAAAATTAATACAACACCAAACGTTTGGGCAGGCAGCACTTCTCTAGTTTCAAAACACAAGACGGACAGAGAGACAGACAGAAGAGCAGGCGGAGGAGGAGGAGGAGAAGTCCCCCTCTCCCGCTGCCCTTTGAGGTATATATATATATATGTCGTGTCCAAAGCTGGAGGAGGACATCTTGGACCAACGGAAAAGAACTGGAACACCAGTTTTGGGGGAAGGGGGGGGAGTCACATCGCCACCAAAGGCTGGCCAGCTCCAGCTGTGTGTGGCTATTACCCGTTTCACTTTGCTGGAATCAGCAGCAGCAGCAGCAGCAGCAACACTGTTTGGGGGAGTGGGTGGGTGTGAGGAGGGGGGAGGAGGAGGGGAGCAAAACAAGACCCAGAAGAGAAGGGAGCAAGGGGGGCTCCTCGGCTCCCAAGGCATGAGTTGGGGAGGGGGAGGTTGCCACAGCGTCTGCGGCATCTACAGAGTGGGGCAGGGGTGGGCGCTTGGGTCGACCACATCCACTGGCGCTTCCGAGATGGGTGGATCCATCGACCAGCTGGGCATCTCTCCCTGAAAGGTGCCAAGTGTCCAGATGCAAAAAGGGGGAAGAGGTGGTAGTGGGAAGAGGCAATGGTGGAAGCAATGGGTGTGCTCTTGGGGTGTCACCGTGGTGGGAAACACAGAGACAGAACGGGGAACAGCACCGGGCATCTCCTCCGTGGGGTGCACATCACCTGCTAGATCTTCCTCTCTGGCCTTCAGACCCTGCCTGGCTCAGTTCCCCTTCCCCAGGAAAGAGGTCGGGGGGGGGGGGGGGGGGGGGGGAGGGGGGGGGGGGGGGGGATGGAAAGGTCAAATGCCCTAGAGAGTGTTGGAGAGGAGGGGGTGCCCATTCCCCTTCTCGCCTTGCCCCATTCCCTTCCTTGCAGCCTTCTTGTAAAATGAAGCTAGGAGGAGCCACACTGCAAACGGAAGGAAAACTGGCCGCTCCAAAGTAGAGTCTCGCTTATCCGACATAAGTAATAAATCTGTCATATGACATCATATTTGAAGTTTCAACAACAATAACGTAATACTTTGTGAATCAAAGAGTTAAGACAAGGCAACGCCTCAGGGCTAGAGTGGATGTGGACGAGGAGTGTGGAAATCACCGAGGGAAGGCGGGAGGACGCTTCCGCTTCCGGTCCTGCCTCTTTCCCCCCTTTCCTATCTCCTCTTCCTCCTTGCCTTGAATTTTTCACTCACTGGGAATGGAGGGAGAGTTGTGGAAATGCACTCCTTTAATTGGAGGGGAAATGCTGGAGGAAAAGCGGGGCGTCGGATAAGACAGGACGTCGGATAAGCGAAGGCCGGATAAGCGAGACTCTACTATACAGTGGTTAATGTGAGTGCCCGTGCGGATGTGGAATAGGGAGGGGAGATGGGGGGAGGGCTTCCTGAGAATTGGGGGGGGGGGAGGGCTCTCAATTTGAGAGGAGTCAGCTGCCTCACCTGCCCGCACCCCTGGGTCGCTTAGCATCTCTCTAGGGTAGAGAGAAATGAGCCTGGCTGATTCCCTGAGACGGAGGAGCTTTCTTTGGGAAACTGCAAAGAGCGCCTTTCTCTGCTTGAGGTAGTTTGAGTCGTCAGCCCCAGCCCACCCACCGCCCCTCCCTTCTGCCCCGCCCTAGCCCCCCCGTACAAAAGGCCTATCACCCTAAGAACACTGTCACAAATACCTTCACATTTCTGTAAACTGCGAGAGAGGGAGGCTGCACTCGCACAGAATGCCATGATGCAGGAGGGCAAGGGAGGAGGAGGAGGAGTGTGGGGTAGGAGGAGGAGGAGGAGGAAGAGGAGGGTTGCAGATCATACATTCAGCTCTGTCGTGAAATAAATATTATAGGAAACGAGTTAAAAAAAATACAAAAAACGAGGATTCCTGCTACGACGGCAAGGCTACCCATTGCCCTGCCAAAGCGGCCACTTCCCGTCTTCAGCCTCGGTTGCAGGGATCCCCCTCCTCTTGGTCTTCCTCACTCCTTCGTCATGCCGCCCTTGCAGGAGTGCAGCACGGCCTTGAAGAGGAGGGGCAGCTGCTCCAGGGGAACGCTCACCATCTTCCCTGTGGAGAGAAACCCACGCGCCAATCAGCAGATGGCCCACAGCTCACAGTGTAGGCCAGGCACGGGCCAACTTCGGCCTTCCCTCCAAGTGTTGTGGACTTCAACTCCCACCATTCCCAACAGCCTCAGGCCCCTTCCTTTTCCCCCTCCGCCACTTAAGTGTAACGAAGGCATGGACCACTGTGGCCAAGTCAGGCTTCTCGAGGTACGGTTGCAGCTTGCGCACACGTTTTAACAGTTCGAAGGCCTTGCCAACCACTGCTGACACCTGAGCATCAAGTGGCAGCGTTGATTCCAGAAGGACCCCAGACTGTCGACCTGTGTCCTCAGAAGGAGTGTAACCCTAACTGCAACACACTCTATGCGGAGCTGCCTTTGAACATGGTTTGGAAACGTCAGCTAGTCCAACGGGAGGCAGCCAGATTACTAACCGGGGCAACATGTAGGGAACATACCACCCCCCTGTTATGCCAGCTCCACTGGCTGCTGGTCCATCTCTGAGCCCAATTCAAAGTGCTGGTTCTGACCTATAAAGCTCTATACGGTTCTGGCCCAGTTTACTTGTCCGAACGCATCCACCCCTCCGTCCCACCTCGTAACCTAAAATAATCTGGGGAGGCCCTGCTCTCACTCCCATCAATAGCACAGATGTGCCTGGCGGGGACGAGAGACAGGGCCTTCTTGGTGGTGGCTCCCCGCTTATGGAACACACTCCCAATTGAGGTAAGATCAGTCCCCTCCTCCCTGGCTTTTCAAAAGAAATTAAAGACATGGTTTTGGGACCAGGCTTTTGGATAATAGATGTAAGCAGCACTAATAATAATAATAATAATAATAATAATAATAATAATAATAATACCACCATCTCCCTGAGGGGGACTCGGAGCGGCTAACACCACTGAGAAGGCCCTGCTCTCGATCCTGCCTGTAACTCAGGCACGGCTGGCGGGGAGGAGGGACAGGGCCTTCTCAGTGGTGGCCCCTCGGCTGTGGAACGCCCTTCCCACAGACATTAGATCGGCTCCCTCATTAATGGCATTTCGGAAGAAAGTGAAAACCTGGTTATTTGAACAGGTGTTTGAATAGGCAGTGCAATGAATTACGATGAATTATAGGAAATTGGAACTACGGATGACGAGCTTGGATTATGATTTTAGTTATGAGACGCTAATGAGTTGTTATTGATGTTTATTGATGTTAATTGTTTTTTATATGGTTTGTATGATGCTAGCATTGAATTTCTGCTGCTGTTTGTTGTTAACCGCTCTGAGTCGCCTAAGGGCTGAGAAGAGCGGTATACAAATAAAGTAAATAAGTAAATAATAAATAAATAACATGAGGCCAAGGCCAAAGATACAATATAGCAAAATAAAATACAAAATGCAAACAACAAAAAAGCAACAAAAATTACACCACAATAAAATACATACAGTAGCGGAGTGGAGTAAACAAAGCGAAATAACGTAATATAAAATCGAACACAATATTGGGAAAGGAAAGCCCACCAGCTGCTCTGGATTGCCCTTGATGGATCCCATCCCACCCACAGAAGGAGAGACAGAGAAGCCGGCGTGCCGCCTCTTGTCCCACACGAGCCGGAGGCCGGGACAGGTGAGCCGGAGCGCCCCCAGGTCCTCACCTGCAATGTAACGGATCTCGGGCAGGCACATCATCAGGTCCGGGAACCGGGTTGGCTGATGGGGATACTTGAACTCCATGAAATCCTGGCACACGTACCAATAGCGTTTGTTCAGCTGCTCCAGTTGGGAAGCGTTGGCCAGGCCGCGGATATCTGCGCGGAGAAGAGGCGGCCGCTTGAGCGGGAAGGAGGACGGGGCAGCCACCCCCCCCCCCAAAACGCCAACCCCGAGAGGCATCCATCGCCAACGGCAATACTAGTCTCAGCCCCAGGCCAGCTCTGCCATTTCGCTTCCAGAGAGGGAGGGGGGAATCTATCCCAGAGAGTACGAAGCTTAGACCGTGCCTTGGGATTTACAGTTCCCAAGGCATGGGATAAGCATGCGACGGAAACTGACAGCACAACAACACAACCGTCGAGCTTAGTTTCTGGACTGGCACCTCCATTTTGGCTTCTCTGGATCTCCAAGAAAGAATACGAAGAAGGAGGCACGCGATATGTGGAAAGAAAAGGCCCCAAAATCCTGTAATGAAAGAGTTTGCCTTCCCTAATTCTTCTAATATTTGATAGTTTTAGTATACTCAGGAACTGAAGTTTTGTCTCTTTTGTAGTAAGTCTACACTTTTGTCTCTAGAGAAGTGGTCCCAATCTGTGGTTCATTGACCATCAATGGTCCACAAGAACTCAAATATAGTCCGCGGCCCCACCCTTACTACACCGTTGCAATGAGAGCAACTGGTCTCGCAAAACCCTCTTACAGTGCCAAGGTTCATTAAATAGGGTTTTCTGTGGGCGAGCAGATGCCGACTCCTGGGTGGCATATGTTCTGTATCAGAAACTAGAGCTGATGTGGTCTAACCAAGACAGTTTTCTGAATCAGAACCCCCAAACCGAATTGAAAGTTGACCAAAACCAGATTCGTAACCCTTTTGGTTCTAAAGTTGGGAGAGTGGTCCTGATCAAAGTGGTCCCTAGTCAAAGTGGTCCCAGGTCAAAGTGGTCCCTGCTCAAAATGGTCCCTAGTCAAGTGGTCCCTGGTCAAAGTGGCCCTTAGTCAAGTGGTCCCTGGTCAAGTGGTCCCTGGTCATAGTGGTCCCTAGTCGAGCGTTCCCTGGTCAAAAAAAGGTTGGGAACCACTTCTCTGGAGAGTCAGAATGTTCTCTTTGCAGTCTTGTAGAGCTTCTGAGAAAGAGAAACCAACTCCAGGAGGGGTCTGCTGAGCTCAGACAGATCATCACTCCCAACAGAGCTCCTGGGGCTAAACTTGCGATCTCTAGTACCTGGACCAAGGTCTTGAGGCCACAAGAGGAGCTTCTAGGGAGGGGAAAGAAAGCAGCCCCCAAATGCAGCCCCCACCGCCCTTTTGCCCAGTCCAGCCACTCTAGCTGAGCCATGCTTCCCGACTCCACGTGGGGCTCCCCTGGCACAAGGCGAACATGACTTGTGCTGGTGTCTTTCTGGGCACGGCATTGTTACACATGGAAGGGCTTTCTCCCGCCTCACCCCAGTCCTCCCTGACAGCCTTTTCTGGGCATTTCTGTCAGCAACAGCAGGATCTGAATCCAACCCTCCTGCTGCTGCTGCTGCCAGGGAAACAAGGGACGGCGTGGGTTTTTCTGACGTCCATTCCAGCCTTGAGGTCAACGCTAAAGAGGCTGTTGTCAGTGAAAGACAGAGAGAGAGAGAGAGAGGCAAAGGGGGGGAAAGAGAGAGAGGGAGTGGTAGAAAGAGGTGGAGAAAAAGAAAAGGAGAGAGAAGGAAGGAAGGCAATGAAACAAGAGGAAGAGCGCAACACAAGAGAGGGAGAAATAGAGGAGCAGAAAGGACAGCCTCTCCCCCGATCCCCTCCTCGTTCTCCTCACCTTGATTGAGGAAGTTAATGGCTTTCATGCACGCATACTCTTCCTTGCTGATTTTCAGTTGGTTGAACTTGCGGTACAAGTAGATGAGTCGCTCCATCACCTCCATCCCTTCTTCGCTAAACCTGTCCGGAGGAGAAAGGAAAGAGGAGACCCCAACGTGTCAAGGAGGCCTCAAAAGGCTTCAGGTCCTCCTGCCCCTCGTGGTCCGTTATGGAAGGAACCAGCTTGGGAAGCAGGAGAAAGGGTGCCAACAGTCTTCTAAGTCCATTTCCTGACTGAGTAACTCCAGACCCATCTACGAACACAGAGAGTGCTCACTAATGCTTCCTCTTCATCTTGGAAAGAAGTGACAAGTGGAGTGCCACAGGGTTCCGTCCTGGGCCCGGTCCTGTTCAACATCTTTATTAATGAATTAGATGAAGGGCTAGAAGGCATGATCATCAAGTTTGCAGACGACACCAAATTGGGAGGGATAGCCAATAGTCCAGAGGACAGGAGCAGGATTCAAAACGATCTTGACAGATTAGAGAGATGGGCCAAAACTAACAAAATGAAGTTCAACAGTGACAAATGCAAGATACTCCACTTTGGCAGGAAAAATGAAATGCAAAGATACAGAATGGGGGACTGCCTGGCTCGAGAGCAGTACGTGTGAAAAAGATCTTGGAGTCCTCGTGGACAACAAGTTAAACATGAGCCAACAATGTGATGTGGCGGCAAAAAAAGCCAATGGGATTTTGGCCTGCATCAATAGGAGCATAGTGTCTAGATCTAGGGAAGTCATGCTGCCCCTCTATTCTGCTTTGGTTAGACCACACCTGGAATATTGTGTCCAATTCTGGGCACCACAATTCAAGGGAGATATTGACAAGCTGGAATGTGTCCAGAGGAGGGCGACTCAAATGATCAAGGGTCTGGAGAACAAGCCCTATGAGGAGCGGCTTAAAGAGCTGGCCATGTTTAGCCTGAAGAAGAGAAGGCTGAGAGGAGATATGATAGCCATGTATAAATATGTGAGAGGAAGCCACAGAGGGGAGGAGGGAGCAAGCTTGTTTGAAGGCATCCTCAGAAGTTGGGAAGGAACAATGGCTTCAAACTACAAGAGAGGAGATTCCATCTGAACATGAGGAAGAACTTCCTGACTGTGAGAGCCGTTCAGCAGTGGAACTCTCTGCCCCGGAGTGTGGTGGAGGCTCCCTCTTTGGAAGCTTTTAAACAGAGGCTGGATGGCCATCTGTCAGGGGTGATTTGAATGCAATATTCCTGCTTCTTGGCAGGGGGTTGGACTGGATGGCCCATGAGTTCTCTTCCAACTCTTTGATTCTATGATTCTAAGAGTTCGAGATGATCGTGCCATTACTGCTCAAGCAGGGAGCTTTGAGATAGTTGAACAGAAGCTCTCCGAAGCTCTAGGTGCCCTTACTGCCTATGACAGGGAAAACCAGCTGATCCCTAATCCATCTAAAACACAGACATGTGCCTCTCACCTTAAGAACAGACAAGCATCCCGAGCTCTGAGGATTATTACCTGGGAAGGAAGGAATCCCACGGGAGCATTGCAGCGCACCCAAATACCTGGGAGTCACTCTGGACCGTGCTCTGACCTACAAGAAGCACTGCCTGAACATCAAGCAAAACGTGGGTGCTAGAAACAATATCATACGAAAGCTGACTGGCACAACCTGGGGATCACAACCAGACACAGTGAAGACATCTGCCCTTGAGCTGTGCTACTCTGCTGCTGAGTATGCATGCCCAGTGTGGAACACATCTCACCACGCTAAAACAGTGGATGTGGCTCTTAATGAGACATGCCGCATTATCACAGGGTGTCTGCGCCCCACACCACTGGAGAAATTACACTGCTTAGCCGGTATTGCACCACCTGACATCCGCCGGGAAGTAGCAGCCAATAGTGAAAGGACCAAGGCAGAGACATCTCCAGCTCATCCCCTGTTTGGGTATCAGCCAGCACGTCAACGACTTAAATCAAGACATAGTTTTCTTAGATCTACAGAGACACTCGCTGGAACACCCCAGCAAGCGAGAGTCCAAAAGTGGCAGGCCCAAACCCAGCACCTCAATTCATGGGTGATACCAGATGAGAGACTCCCCCCTGGGCACACAGAGGACGGGGGACTTGGAAGGCGCTGAACAGACTGCGCTCTGGCACCACGAGATGCAGAGCCAACCTTCAGAAATGGGGCCACAAAGTGGAATCCTCGACATGCGAGTGCAGAGCAGACCACTGACCACCTGCTGCAATGCAACCTGAGCCCTGCCACATGCACAATGGAGGACCTTCTTGCGGCAACACCAGAGGCACTCCAAGGGACCAGATACTGGTCAAAGGACATTTAACCAACTACCAAATTTGCAAAATCTGTGTGTTTTTTTTCTTTCTTTTTCTTTTAATCTGTGTGTTTGTTTTGCTCTGTTAGAATTGTAATACAATGGTTGCTGATGACACGATAAATAAATAACTCCAGACCTCGTGTTCCCTCTCTCCCCACCACTGCCCTCTTGGGCTTGCATGTTTGCTGCTCTCAAGACCTTCTTGTGGGGGAAGGCTGGCACATAGTTGAGGACCTGTCTTGCTTTTCTCAGACCACCACGCAGAAAGCAACAAGGACGCAAATCTTTTCCTTGACACAATCCTGAGCAGCTTATAGGACTGGGCTGTGGTGCAGCTAGTTAGTAGCCAGCTGCATGAAATCACTACTGACCAAGAGGTCATGAATTCGAACCCAGCCTGGGTCAGAGTGAACTCCTGACCATTAATAGTCTAGCTTGCTGTTGACCTATGCACCCCAAAAGACAGTTGCATTTGTCAAGTAGGAAAATCTATGTAGGGAGGCTAATTTAACTAATTTACAACGCCATAAAATCTTCCAGCAGCAGGCAGAAGAATGAGGAAGTACTCCATCAGAGGACCCAGTGTCACAAATGGACGGTGAAGCGGCAGCTCCCCCTGTGGCCGGAACCGAGCATACCCTCATGAAGCCGGAAAAGGCTGGAATGTTAAATTGCTTTTGTATGTATCTATATATAGAATCATAGAATCCAAGAGTTGGAAGAGACCTCCTGGGCCATCATCCAGTCCAACCCCATTCTGCCAAGAAGCAGGAATATTGCATTCAAATCACCCCTGACAGATGGCCATCCAGCCTCTGTTTCAAAGCTTCCAAAGAAGGAGCCTCCACCACACTCCGGGGCAGAGAGTTCCACTGCTGAACGGCTCTCACAGTCAGGAAGTTCTTCCTCATGTTCAGGTGGAATCTCCTCTCTTGCAGTTTGAAGCCATTGTTCCATTGCGTCCTAGTCTCCAGGGAAGCAGAAAGGAAGCTTGCTCCCTCCTCCTCCCTGTGGCTTCCTCTCACATATTTATACATGGCCCTCATCATATCTCCTCTCATCCTTCTCTTCTTCAGGCTAAACATGCCCAGTTCCCTAAGCCGCTCCTCATAGGGCTTGTTCTCCAGACCCTTGATCATTTGAGTCGCCCTCCTCTGGACACATTCCAGCTTAGAGTCAATATCTCTCTTGAATTGTGGTGCCCAGAATTGGACACAATATTCCAGGTAAAGTGGTCTAACCAAAGCGGAATAGAGCATGGGGAGCAGGACTTCCCTAGATCTAGACACTAGGCTCCTCTTGATGCCTGAGGCCAAAATCCCATTGGCTTTTTTGCCGCCACATCCCATTCCTGGCTCATGTTCCCCTTCTTCCTCCCCACGAGGACTCCAAGATCTTTTCCACAGGTCCTGCTCTCGAGCCAGGCCTCATCGTCCCCCATTCTGTCTCTTGTTGTATATCTCATTGGCATTGAATGTTTGCCATGTATATGTACATTGTAACCCGCCCTGAGTCCCCTGCGGGGTGAGGAGAAGGGCGGAAGAGAAATACTGCAAATAAATACATAAATAAATAAACCAACATTGTACTGGGAGAGGACTCAACGTGGCCTGAGCTTAACTGTTGGGAGTCAGGCACTCAAGGAAGCAATTTTGAAGGCGATGAAAGCTCTTGGTCACGGGCCACCTCCCTTCTCTTGCAACATCTGTGGGCACTCCAGGGCTGCGCACGAGTCCACCCTTCTCCAAGGCACATCGAGAAACCCAGGCGAGCGAGCTCCCTTGTGCTATTTTATGGACACAACTGTGAGGGAAAGGGAGGCACGAGGAATCCCTCTTCACAAACTCAGTTTCCTGAGCATTGCACCGCCACTCCCTCCTTCAAACCAGATTTGGTCTGTGGCGGTGCAATTCTCGAGACTTAATTATGATTCCTGATAAGAGACAGATTCGATGAGAAAAGATGCCAATTGTGTTGGAAAAAGAAAGGAAGAGGAGGTGAGAAATGGCCAGGCTTTGTTTACAGAGAGGTTAAGGGTTTCAAAGCCAGCTAAACTTCTTGGAGTCAAGAATTCAGAAGGAGAGTGTGACCCTGAAAGGGAAGAGAAGCCTATCTGCATGGGGAAGTGTGGAGGAGGGTCATGTTGGGCGAGTGGGCTTAGCAACAAAAGACCCTCCCCATAAATGCACAGCAGAGTCACTTATTAGCAGCAGCGTGACCCAGAACCAGGATCCCAAAGTGAGCGAAAGAACAAAAACACACAGACCAATGTTGTCTCTTCCATAGGAGGCTTTTCTTTGGAGCAAAATAATATGGCCGCACTATTTACCACAACAAGGTTTCCATACACAAATAAACAAACATTATTTATTTACGCTATTTCTATCCCGCCCGTATCAGCCCGAAGGCAACACAGTAGCATTACACAGAGCAGCCTTCACACTGGGGCTTTCTCACACAAGGCTTCTCTCACACAGAGGTGTGCCTCACACTCCTCAGCACGACACTAGCTTTGGCCCACTGACTCTAACAGGCTTCGGCCTACTCGCTCTTTCAGTGCTTGACTCACACTTTTGTAATCAAAAATAACTCGTTAATTTTTAATATTTCTGCCAGGCCACCCTCCACGTGGTACAGCAGAGGTAGGCAACTAGGCAGGCCCAATTTTGCCCTGTGCAGGCAAAAAATCACATTGAAAAACAAATAAATGGGGTTTGCTGTGTTTTGGCAACCCTGATGGAGTGCCACGCTTTCCTCTTCCCAGTTCCATAGAAACACAGGAGCGGGAGCACCCAAGTGACCCAAGGGAGCAAACCGCACATTGAAAGCCATGCTCTGATTTTGCTCTAAATGCACCCTAATATTTTTTTCACGTCAGGAGCGAATTGAGAAACTGCAAGTTGCTTCTGGTGTGAGAGAATTGGTTGTCTGCAAGGATGTTGCCTAGGGGAAGCCCGGATGTTTTGATGTTTTATCATCCTTGTGGGAGGCTTCTCCCATGTCCCCGCATGGGGAGCTGGAGCTGACAGAGGGAGCTCATACGCGCTCTCCCCGGATTCGAACCTGTGACCTTGCCAGGATATTTTGATGTTTGACCATCCTTGTGGGAGGCTTCTCTCATGTCTCCGCATGGGGAGCTGGAGCTGACAGAGGGAGCTCATACGCGCTCTCCCCGGATTCGAACCTGTGACCTTGCCAGGATATTTTGATGTTTGACCATCCTTGTGGGAGGCTTCCCCCATGTCCCCGCATGGGGAGCTGGAGCTGACAGAGGGAGCTCATACGCGCTCCCCCTGGATTTGAACCTGCAACCTTGCCCAGATGTTTTGATGTCTGACCATCCTTATGGGAGGCTTCTCTCATGTCTCCGCATGGGGAGCTGGAGCTGACAGAGGGAGCTCATACGCGCCCTCCCCAGATTCGAACCTGCAACCTTGCCCAGATGTTTTGATGTCTGACCATCCTTGTGGGAGGCTTCTCTCATGTCCCTGCATGGGGAGCTGGAGCTGACAGAGGGAGCTCATACGCACTCTCCCCGGATTCAAACCTGTGACCTTGCCCAGATGTTTTGATGTTTGACCATCCTTGTGGGAGGCTTCCCTCATGTCCCTGCATGGGGAGCTGGAGCTGACAGAGGGAGCTCATACGCACTCTCCCCGGATTCAAACCTGTGACCTTGCCCAGATGTTTTGATGTCTGACCATCCTTGTGGGAGGCTTCTCTCATGTCTCCGCATGGGGAGCTGGAGCTGACAGAGGGAGCTCATACGCGCTCTCCCCGGATTCAAACCTGTGACCTTGCCCAGATGTTTTGATGTTTGGCCATCCTTGTGGGAGGCTTCCCCCATGTCCCCACATGGGGAGCTGGAGCTGACAGAGGGAGCTCATATGCGCTCTCCCTGGATTTGAACCTGCGAACTTTGCCCAGATGTTTTGATGTCTGACCATCCTTGTGGGAGGCTGCTCCCATGTCCCCGCATGGGGAGCTGGAGCTGACAGAGGGAGCTCATACGCGCTCTCCCCAGAGTCAAACCTGCGAACTTTGCCCAGATGTTTTGATGTTTGACCATCCTTATGGGAGGCTTCTCTCATGTCCCTGCATGGGGAACTGGAGCTGACAGAGGGAGCTCATCCACACTCTCCCTGAATTCGAACCTCCGACCTGCCAGTCTTCAGTCCTGAAGGGTTCAACTCATTGCGCCACGGGGGGCTCCTACTGTACCCCAATGGGGAAAGGCAATGCCCGTTCCCCTCCATGCTGCTGGGCTTGGGCAGGTGTTGATGTTGCTGCCTGGCGAGGAAGGGGTTGGATGGGTACAGAAAGCCCCCCCCCCCCCAATCTGCCCTGATATACTATGTAAACAAGGCAGGCTGGCATTTGGGAACGAGTTCCTCCCCAGCGGCCCTGATTCATGAGCAGCAGGGTCAGTGGGAGCACCAGTTTGTCAGTGGAGTCTTGGCTGGTGTCAGGCGCCTCACCCAGCCGTTCAAATTTATGCCACGGAAAACAGTCCTCTGACCCATCCTGCGTTCCGTGATCCAGGCCAGCTTTTCCTCCCTTGGGAGACACCCAGAGGTGGCCGGCAGGCACCCCCTTGCTGCGCATTACTGCCACTGCGCCTTCCGAGCATGACTTGGGAGGAGGCCGGGCTGGCCATCTGGCCATCTGGAGGGTGCTATTTAGTCCTCCCTCCGGAAGGGGAGGCTGAGCTGGCCCCGGAAAAGCTTCCTTGGGAGGGGAGGGGAGGGAGCGGGAAGGTCAGCACCAAGCCACGGAATTGCGTGGCACGACACTCCGCTCACACCACATCTGCCAGCACGTGGAATTGCAGGATTCCAAAGCGCTCTGCACACTTGGGGCACCACATGCATGTCTCTGTATTTCAGTAAATTTGGACTGCAAGTCGCTTCTGGCAACCAAGGCAGTGACACCTCCGGCCCAGCCTCTGTTTGGATTTCAGCCAGGATGCCAATGCCTCGAATCATTGCTGGTCTTGGCCTATAAAGCCCTACACGGCTCCGACCCAGCTTACTTGTCCGAACATATCTCCCTCTACGTTCCGCCTCGTAGTTCAAGATCCACCGGAGAAGCCCTGCTCTCGGTCCCACCAGCCTCGCAAACCCATCTGGTGGGGATGAGGGACAGGGCCTTCTCGGTGGTGACCCCCCACTTGTGGAATTCGCTCCCAAGCGAGATTAGATTTATTTTATTTATTTATTTATAGCTTTTCTATTCCGCCCTTCTCCTCACCCCGCAGGGGACTCAGGGCGGATTACAGTGTACACATATATGGCAAACATTCAATGCCAATTTTTGACATACAAACATATACAGACATACACAGAGGCTATTTAACTTGGGAGCTGTCGCTTTCATCGTCCATCTGTGACGCTGATGAAGCACTTCCGCATTCCCCGCTGCTGGAGTCTTCTTTATGGCCTCATAAATCAGTTAATTTAGCCTCCCCACACTTTAAGGTGGTACCTTATTTTCCTACTTGACAGATGCAACTGTCTTTCGGGTTGCAAAGGTCGACAACAGGCTACACAATTGGTTGGAAACCCACTCCAACCCGGCTTCGAACTCATGACCTTTTGGTCAGAGGGATCTTAATGCAGCTGACACTCAGCCAGCTGCACCACAATCCCGGTGCGTCCTCTCTCCTTCCTTTAGGAAAGAACTGAAATCATGGTTTTGGAACCAGGTCTTTGGCTGGCAGGCACAACGGCACTTTGGATACTGAACTGGACCATGATTGTTATGATAATGGAAACGGCTATGACATTGTTTCTAAGTGGAGAAGAGCCAACCACTGACCACCTTCTGCAATGCACCCTGAGCCCTGCCACATTCACAACGGAGGACCTTCTTGTGGCAACACCAGAGGCACTCCAAGTGTCCAGAGACTGGTCAAAGGACATTTAATCAACTACCAAACTCGCAAATTTTGTATTTTGTCTGTTTGTTTGCTTTGTTCTGTTAGAAATGTAATACAATTGACTGGTTGCCCTGACACGACAAATATAATGACTTAAATCAAGAAATAGTTTTCTAAGATCTACAGAGACACTCGCTGGAACACCTCAGCAAGTGAGAGTCCAAAAGTGGCAGGCTAAGACCCAGAACCTGAATCAGTGACTGAGACTGGATGAGAGACTCCCTCCTGGGCACACAGAAGACTGAGTGACTTGGAAGGCGCTGTTTGTTTGTTTTGTTCTGTTAGAAATGTAATACAATGGTCTGGCTGCCCCTGACACGATAAATAAATACATCTATTGCATACTTATGGTTTTATATTGTTGTTATATTGATATTGCGGCATCGAATTGTTGCCAATGTTAGCCGCTATGAGTCCCCCCCCCCCCCGCCCCCACGGGGGTTGAGAAAGGCAGGGTAGAAATGCTGTAAATAAAATAAATAAATCACGAAATACGATCAACAGAGATACTCGAAGCAAGTGAGAGTCCAAAAGTGGCAGGCTCAAACCCGGAACTCCAAATAGGGGCTGATACTTGGTGAGAAACTCTCTCCTAGACACACCAAAGGCTGGGTGATCTGGGAGGCACTGAACACGCTGCGCTCTGGGACCACGAGATGCAGAGCCAACCTTAAGGAATGGGGCCACCAAGTGGAGTCTACGACATGCGTGTGGAGAATAGCCAACCACAGACCACAGACTACATTGCAAACGGAGCCCTGCCACATGCACAAGGGAGGACCAAAACTAGTGTTGTCCTGAGGAATGTGAGGTAAACCTCTGTGTGAGAGAAGCCTTGTGTGAGAAAGCTCCAGTGTGAAGGCTGCTGTGTGTAAAGCCACTGTGTTTGTTTATTTGTGTTATGCCGGAGCTTTTTGGGAGTCAGTGGGCCAAAGCTAGTGTCGTCCTGAGGAATGTGAGGTAAACCTCTGTGTGAGAGAAGCCTCGTGCGAGAAAGCTCCAGTGTGAAGGCTGCTGTGTGTAAAGCCACTGTGTTTGTTTATTTGTGTTATGCCGGAGCTTTTTGGAAGTCAGTGGGCCAAAGCTAGTGTCGTCCTAAGTAATGTGAGGTAAACCTCTGTGTGAGAGAAGCCTCGTGCGAGAAAGCTCCAGTGTGAAGGCTGCTGTGTGTAAAGCCACTGTGTTTGTTTATTTGTGTTATGCCGAAGCTTTTTGGGAGTCAGTGGGCCAAAGCTAGTGTCGTCCTGAGGAATGTGAGGTAAACCTCTGTGTGAGAGAAGCCTCGTGCGAGAAAGCTCCAGTGTGAAGGCTGCTGTGTGTAAAGCCACTGTGTTTGTTTATTTGTGTTATGCCGAAGCTTTTTGGAAGTCAGTGGGCCAAAGCTAGTGTCGTCCTGAGGAATGTGAGGTAAACCTCTGTGTGAGAGAAGCCTCGTGCGAGAAAGCTCCAGTGTGAAGGCTGCTGTGTGTAAAGCCACTGTGTATTTGTTTATTTGCGTTATGGAAACCTTGTTGTTGTAAATAATGCAACCATATGGCCATATAGCCCAAAAAAACCTGCAACAATGCAATGCAACCATATTGTTTTTAACTTTGTGTTTTTCAAAAATACATTATAAGTGTTTCCTCCCCGCCCCGCCCCCCCCCATCCTCTGCTCCCCCCGTCTTACCGCTGGAGCTCATCATCGGAAGGGGAGTACTTGGAGGTGACATCGGCCAGGTCCCCAAAGATCTGCTTGCTGTAGACGGTGAGGGAGGAGAGCAGGATCAGCTCCTGCCAGGTGGAGCTCAAGAGGCAGGTGTAGTCCTTGATGGACAGGTCGCAGAAGAAGGGCAGCTTCTTGATCCAGGCGATCTGGCGGAAGAGCAGCTCGTCCGCCAGCCGGCACAGCAAGGCAAAGAGCTCGCCCTGAGTCACTTTGTACCTGCGGGACAGTCGAAGAAAGCCATCAGACTTGGGAATCTGAGACAGAAGAAGAGGGGGATATGATCACTTCCTTTCTCCCCACAACAACAATCTAGGGAGGTATTTCAGGCTGAGAGAGACTGTGTGACTGGCCCAAGGTTGTCACTCAGGAGGTTTCACAGCTTCCGTAAAACTGGGAAATGTGCAGGCTTCCAAAGGTTGTGGAACACCAACTCCCAGCATTCCTACACTAGCTATGCTGAATCAGGGTTGTTGGGAGTTGCAGTCCCCTCACATCTGGAGGCCTGCATGCTCCTTACCCCTGGCTTTAGGGGCCCAGTGGGTCTGTTGGGTGAGTGGGCTTATTAGCAAAAGACCCTCCTCATAATTGCACAGCAGAGTAACTTATCAGCAGCAGCGTGACCCAGCGCCAGTAGGTCAAAGTGATAAAAGGAACAGAAACTTAGAGACCAATGTTATCTCTTCCACAGGAGGCTTTTCTTTATAGCAAAATAATATGGTTACACTATTTACAATAACAAGGTTTTCATAACATAAATAAAGTTGTTTATACTTCCTTCTTTGCTTCCACGTTGGGCTTCTTTCTGGTGCAGATAAACAGCTTCGTTCTCATTGAGCCTCTTCTCACACCCAACTTACACAGGCGTTTCTCACAGTAGCTTTACACACAGCAGCCTTCACAATTGAGCTGCACACACTGTGGCCTTCAACCTGGGGCTTCTCTCACACGGAGGCCTTCTCATACTGAGGCCTATTAACACTGAGGCGTACCACCTCACACTGAGGCCTTTCTCCCATTGAGGCCTCCTCAGGCTGAGGGCTGTCTCTGACTGAGGCCTTTCTCCCACTGAGGTCTACTGCACACAGAGGCCTCTCCCACTGAGGTCTGCTAACACTGAGGGCTCTCTCAGACTGAGGTGAACTAACACTGAGGCCTACTGTGTGTGTGTGTGTGTGTGTGTGTGTGTATAGTCGTGTCAGGAGCAACTTGAGAAACTGCAAGTACCACCTCACACTGAGGCCTTTCTCCCATTGAGGCCTCCTCAGGCTGAGGGCTGTCTCTGACTGAGGCCTTTCTCCCACTGAGGTCTACTGCACACAGAGGCCTCTCCCACTGAGGTCTGCTAACACTGAGGGCTCTCTCAGACTGAGGTAAACTAACACTGAGGCCTACTGTGTGTGTGTGTGTGTGTGTGTGTGTATTCGTGTCAGGAGCAACTTGAGAAACTGCAAGTACCACCTCACACTGAGGCCTTTCTCCCATTGAGGCCTCCTCAGGCTGAGGGCTGTCTCTGACTGAGGCCTTTCTCCCACTGAGGTCTACTGCACACAGAGGCCTCTCCCACTGAGGTCTGCTAACACTGAGGGCTCTCTCAGACTGAGGTAAACTAACACTGAGGCCTACTGTGTGTGTGTGTGTGTGTGTGTGTGTATTCGTGTCAGGAGCAACTTGAGAAACTGCAAGTACCACCTCACACTGAGGCCTTTCTCCCATTGAGGCCTCCTCAGGCTGAGGGCTGTCTCTGACTGAGGCCTTTCTCCCACTGAGGTCTACTGCACACAGAGGCCTCTCCCACTGAGGTCTGCTAACACTGAGGGCTCTCTCAGACTGAGGTGAACTAACACTGAGGCCTACTGTGTGTGTGTGTGTGTGTGTGTGTGTATTCGTGTCAGGAGCAACTTGAGAAACTGCAAGTACCACCTCACACTGAGGCCTTTCTCCCATTGAGGCCTCCTCAGGCTGAGGGCTGTCTCTGACTGAGGCCTTTCTCCCACTGAGGTCTACTGCACACAGAGGCCTCTCCCACTGAGGTCTGCTAACACTGAGGGCTCTCTCAGACTGAGGTAAACTAACACTGAGGCCTACTGTGTGTGTGTGTGTGTGTGTGTGTGTATTCGTGTCAGGAGCAACTTGAGAAACTGCAAGTACCACCTCACACTGAGGCCTTTCTCCCATTGAGGCCTCCTCAGGCTGAGGGCTGTCTCTGACTGAGGCCTTTCTCCCACTGAGGTCTACTGCACACAGAGGCCTCTCCCACTGAGGTCTGCTAACACTGAGGGCTCTCTCAGACTGAGGTAAACTAACACTGAGGCCTACTGTGTGTGTGTGTGTGTGTGTGTGTGTATTCGTGTCAGGAGCAACTTGAGAAACTGCAAGTACCACCTCACACTGAGGCCTTTCTCCCATTGAGGCCTCCTCAGGCTGAGGGCTGTCTCTGACTGAGGCCTTTCTCCCACTGAGGTCTGCTAACATTGAGGGTTCTCTTAGACTGAGGTGAACTAACACTGAGGCCTACTGTGTGTGTTTCTGTGTGTGTGTATATATAGTCGTGTCAGGAGCCACTTGAGAAACTGCAAGTCACTTCTGGTGTGAGGGAATTGGCCGTCTGCAAGGATGTTGCCCTGGGGACGCCTGGATGTTTCTGATATGTTATAGATTGAACTGCAGCTTTTACTGAGTCATCACATCCATGTAACCCTTTCAGTGCTTGACTCACATTTTTGTAATTAAAATTACCTAGCTGATGTTTAATATTTTTGACGAGGTCTCCATCCACCCCTTCTGAAGAGCGGCCTGTGGGGATACCTGGGAGAGGTAGGGGAACGTGGGTCTAGCACTCACCCGTCTTCAATGAGCATGGGGGTGCCCAGGGGCTCCAAGTCCTCCGCAGACACCAACTGGCTGATGAGGAGGCTGTGGGACTGGGGGTCATGGCTCCGGGGCTGGGAGGGCACAATGGCCGCGTGAGCCGGGCAGCTCAAAAGGTGCGGAAGGTACTGGTAGGGCGCAGGCACCGGCGTGCCCATGTACGGATCCCTGAGGGCGGTGAATCCATTCATCTCCACAGACCTACGGGAAGCAAGGGGGGGGAGAGACACGAAGAGGGCGCTGGGAGAGGGGCAGGAGGGGCGCGTGCCTGACGCAGCCCAGCTCTGAACCCTGGGCCCCCCACCTGCCCGCCCCCCCACCCGCCCCTTCCCTTACCGCAAGTCCCACCTTGAGGATGGGGTGGAGACTGGGGAGGGCTGGTTGCTCTCCGAGACCCCGTTCCCAGGGGAGCTGTTGTCACTGTCCCCATTGTTGCTCCAGGAGATGTTGGCCTCCCCCTCAAACTCCTGCCCAGACATGATCCGCTCGATCTCTTCCTCAGAGATCTGCCAGGGAGGGAAACAAAGCGCACCATGGAGAAAACAGTGGCGGAAAGTGCCTCCCACCCTCTTGCAGAAGCAAGGCAGGAGGAGGGGTTGATGATATGTTGAGGAGGGGTTGATATGTTGAGGAGGGGTTGATATGTTGAGGAGGGGTTGATATGTTGAGGAGGGGTTGATATGTTGAGGAGGGGTTGATATGTTGAGGAGGGGTTGATATGTTGAGGAGGGGTTGATATGTTGAGGAGGGGTTGATGATATGTTGAGGAGGGGTTGATATGTTGAGGAGGGGTTGATATGTTGAGGAGGGGTTGATATGTTGAGGAGGGGTTGATATGTTGAGGAGGGGTTGATATGTTGAGGAGGGGTCGATATGTTGAGGAGGGGTTGATATGTTGAGGAGGGGTTGATATGTTGAGGAGGGGTTGATATGTTGAGGAGGGGTTGATATGTTGAGGAGGGGTTGATATGTTGAGGAGGGGTTGATATGTTGAGGAGGGGTTGATATGTTGAGGAGGGGTTGATATGTTGAGGAGGGGTTGATATGTTGAGGAGGGGTTGATATGTTGAGGAGGGGTTGATATGTTGAGGAGGGGTTGATATGTTGAGGAGGGGTTGATATGTTGAGGAGGGGTTGATATGTTGAGGAGGGGTTGATATGTTGAGGAGGGGTTGATATGTTGAGGAGGGGTTGATATGTTGAGGAGGGGTTGATATGTTGAGGAGGGGTTGATATGTTGAGGAGGGGTTGATATGTTGAGGAGGGGTTGATATGTTGAGGAGGGGTTGATATGTTGAGGAGGAGTTGATATGTCTAGCTTTGCTTTCCTGCTCCTGCTCCTCCTCCTCCTCAGGGGACAGATCCTGAACCCCATCTTTGGAGCAAAGGACAAGGGGAAAGAAGAGCTGAGGGCCAGCAGGAAAAGCACTGCTCTTCTCTCTGGGGCTCAGGAGCCCACCTCAGGAACAAAGGGCGACCTTCAATTGGGTTGGCCCACCGTCCCCTCTATCTCCATATTGTCGAAGGCTTGCATGGCCGGAATCGTTGGGTTGTTGTAGGTTTTTCAGGCTGCCAGGCCATGTTCTAGAAGCATTCTCTCCTGACGTTTCGCCTGCATCGATAGCAGGCATCCTCTGAGGTTGTGAGGTTCTTTATGGCCTGAAACGTCAGGAGAGAATGCTTCTAGAACAGTGGTTCTCAACCTGGGGTCCCCAGATGTTTTTGGCCTTCAACTCCCAGAAATCCTAACAGCTGGTCAACTGGCTGGGATTCCTGGGAGTTGTAGGCAAAAAACATCTGGGGACCCCAGGTTGAGAACCACCGTTCTAGAACATGGCCAGGCAGCCCAAAAAACCTACAACAACCTAGCTCCATATTGTTTCCAGGGTTTCGGAGTCTTCCTTTCATCAATGAGCCTGGAACCATCTGTGTGGAAGCCACTGAGTAACAGCCTCTGCCCTAAATCACGGAGAGTGAGTATCTTTCCATCCAAAGACTACTTTCCGTTTTGGATCTGTTTTGGGGAAGGTGAGGCCAATGGGAAAATAGGTAGAATTACAACACCCTTTTTTTTTAAATCTCGAACCTTTCTTCCAATAGTTAAGACTCAAGAGAGGGGCTGAAAGTTCCTAAAAATAGGCAGCAACGCCCCTGTACAAAAGCTTGGAAATTGGGGGCCAGGCAGTGACCCTGGGAAGGTCAGTTTCGAACCGATTGCTTGAGGTTCTCCGTTGCTGCTCGAGCCTATGTGAGCGTGGACTTAAGAGTGCTTTGACAGCTGGGATTCCAAAGATCTATTTTGCGGATCTTCCTAGCAATCTGTCAGCTGCTGATGGGTGTCCGTCTCTTTGTAACGCTTATTTATGGATGATGATGCTGTTGTTGTTTTTATGTTTGTTGGTAAGCTCCCCTGCAGACCCTAATGGGTAAGACACACACACGCAAATGCTCCCCTGCCTTCTTAAGCCAAGATCCCAAAGGCTGCTGGCTCCTCACCTCGCTCTGTTACACCCCCCCCCCAGCCCCCTTCCCCGAATCGCCATCTGGAAAGCGGCCATCATTTCTCACTGGTGTGGCAGGGAGCGATTGGGCAGAATTAGCCCGCATTTTACAAGGCGTCTCCAGGCAAGCCGGTGCATCAATCAGCCAGGCATTTACGGGGTGCCCTGCTTGAGACAACTTCAGAAATTGCGCCGATCACGGGGAAGATTTACGCAGAGCTTGGCGGGGACTGAAGGGCTTACGTTGGCTTAGAGGAGGGCGGAAGGGCTGCTCCTGGGATGGAGGGGCTGCCCACTCACGGAAAGAGCCAGCGGTCCAGTACAGCTCAAGTGCCCCACCGGCCCCCCAGAGTGGGCCTGGCTGAGCGGGGACGCCAAAGAGGCAACTGGGTTCCGTCGCCCTGAAAGAGTGGCTCACCTGGACGGGTCCAATGCTCTTGTTCCGGCCCCCAGGCATGCCGTCTTCGCGAATTGCTGCAAGGAGGGGGGAGCGGGGGGGGGGACACACATAAGAAAAGATCAGATGGTCAAAAACTGGATATACCTACAAGTTTGTAGAGTAGAAAAGAATACCCACCACTGTAAAGTCCAATAGATGGGTGGGATTTTACAATTATTCTGTTGTTGTTGTTATTATTATTATTATTATTATTATTATTATTATTTATTAACTTTATTTGTACTCCCGAAGGACTCGATGCGGCTTACAAAGGCCAAGGCCTCAACAAAACAACAATATCACAATTACATATAAACCAAAGCAAATCAAAAACATTAAAAGCAATAACAGTAAACAGTAAAAACAACACACCGTGATGCAATCAAAAACTAGGCTGGGCAAATGTAATGGGCACAGAGTAATAAGTGCTGAGTGTGCTGAGTGATATATAAGGATTTTTGGATAGGTGCAATGTGCAGACAATCTTAATCTCTAATAAAGTGCTTTTGGACAGATTGCTGGGGATTTCCTATTCTGGAAAGGCACACCGGAATAGCCAGGTCTTCAAGCTCTTCCTAAAGACTGCCAACGTAGGCAGTCTTGTTGTTGTTGTTGTTGTTGTTGTTGTTATTATTATTATTATTATTATTATTATTCTGCCCCAAATCCCTTTGGGGAGATGGTGGCAGGGTATAAAGTAGTAGTAGCAGATATTATTATTGTTTATAATTATTATATTGTAATTGTATTATACGTATTGTATTGCATTGTTATTATAATTATAATAACAATGCAATTGTTATTATAATTGTGGCACAGCTGGCTGGGAGTCAGCTGCATTTAGATCACTACTGACCAAAAGGTCATGAGTTCAAAGCCAGCCTGGGTTGGAGTGAGCTCCTGACCAAAATTGTGTAGCTTGTTGTCAACCTTTGCAGCCCGAAGGACAGTTGCATCTGTCAAGTAGGAAAATTAGGTACCACCTTAAAGTGTGGGGAGGCTAAATTAACTGATTTATGAGGCCATAAAGAAGACTCCAGCAAAGCATTCCAGCGGGAAGCATGCGGGGAATGCGGAAGTGCTTCATCAGCGTCGCAGATGGACGAGGAAAGTGGCCAGAAAAACTTAAATAGCCTCTGTGTATGTCTGTATATGTTTGTATGTCAAAAATTGGCATTGAATGTTTGCCATATATGTGTACACTGTAATCCACCCTGAGTCCCTTGCGGGGTGAGGAGAAGGGCGGAATATAAATACTGTCAATAAATAAATAAACAATTCAGCAACCAGCTAGCCATTTATCCCCCCTCCCACAAGATCTGTCAAGCAAGGACCCACAAAGAAGATGTCAAATCACATCAGACATAAAAGGGAACAAACCCAACGATGCATTTTCTTCCAAAAACGGCTGGAGAGGCTTACAGACGTTCGGGCATTTTTGTCTCCCCTTTGAGAAGCCCTTCTTCCCTTTGCCTTTTTTACATGATGACATTTTGCCAGCTCTGTCCCACCAACTCCCTTATACCTCCCGCCCCCATTTTTTTTTTTTTTATTATTATTATTATTATTATTATTATTCTAGGACTTTGTGATGTATATTATTATTATTATTATTGACACAAAAGCACAGTATGTCACAGCAAACGAGATCTATATGCTGGATTTCGTATCACAAAATCACAAGTCGAACACTTCCCAAGCATCTAGGACTGTGTGATGTATTTTCGAATGATGCATGCAGATCCAAGTAAGGTGGCCTTTTGCAGTTGACAGATCGTGATTTTGTCAATGTTTATGGTTTCCAAATGCCGGCTGAGATCTTTTGGCATGGCACTCAGTGCGCCAATGACCACTGGGACCATTATTATTATTATTATTATTATTATTATCACAACCCCACTAGTGCTGGCTTTTGGGTGTAATTCATAGTACTGGTTATGACCTCAAGAGCCCTACTATACAGGTGACAGGCTGCAACTTGCTGTCTGAGCCTCCTTGGGCCCCGAGATCCACAGAAGGGACGCTCCAGGAAATGTTGGCCTCCCCCCCCCAGAATGAGAGCAGAAAAGAGAGAGAAGACAAAGACCCATTCCCAACTCTCCTTCAGCAGACATGGGGGAAGGGAAACCCATAGACTATGCTAATGCTCACTAAACCGTTCCTCATTGAGGACTTGAGACTTGGGCAGTGTGGGGTTGAATCCCAACAGTTGTATCCCACCTTGAGCCGGGTACTAAATTCATTATCAGTACTAGCCATCCCCTGCCACACGTTGCTGTGGCCCGGTCTCTGTATATGTGTTTTGTGTGTGTATATATTTGTGTATTGTGCACATGAGTTGTGATGTATTTTTTAATTTTTGGCTTTTTAATTTATTTATTTATTTAGCAATTTTGTATACCGGCCCTCTTCTCCCCTCTATCGGGGGACTCGGGCCAGTTTCCAACAATAAAATCACAAAACAATCATTAAAAACATCATATAACATATTCAATTAAAACGTTATAACAGCAAAATGCAATCCCATAATAACAATGGTCAGTCGTCATAGTGAATTCGTTGTCCATCATTCATCGTCATCTATCCGATCACAGAAATATTGATTCACTTGTCGAAAGCCAAACCCCATAGCCAGGTTTTCACCCGTTTTCTGAACGACAGAATGGAGGGGGCAGTTCTGATCTCCAGTGGGAGAGAGTTCCAGAGTCGAGGGGCCACCACCGAGAAGGCCCTGTCCCTCGTCCCCACCAGACGCTCCTGAGAGGCCGGTGGGACCGAGAGCAGGGCCCCTCCAGATGATTTTAACAATCTTGATGGTTCATAGGGGAGAATCCATTTGGACAGGTAAACTGGGCCTGTAATGGGCAACGTACTACAATTTGGTGGTCCAAGTAAGTTTAGTTTGGAGAAGAGAAAAAGGAGAGGTGGGATTTTTATTTTTACATTTTTATTTATATTTTTATTTATATAGATTACTAGCTGTCCCCTGCCATGCGTTGCTGTGGCCCAGTCTGTGTATATGTGTTTTGTGTGTATCTATATGTGTATACGTGTGTGTGTATATATGTGTATATATGTGTGTTTGCATATCTATGTGGTTTTATGCATGCGCTGTCACGTCTTTTTGCTTTGTTGGCCTTTTAAGTCCTTTCCGCTGAGTTTTTTTTAGTGTTTTTATGAGTGATGGTTTCTCATTGGCCTTGTACGTGTATTGTGTCCAAATCTGTTGTCAATTCGTCAAGTGGTTTTTGAATTATGTTAATCCCCAAACGAACATTACATGTTTATTTATACAGATTATGTTTCATTTCATGAAGTGGCCCACCAGTTTCCCAAATGCTGGCCATAAAGGAAATTCTGTCCCAAGTGCAACTGCACCCCACATTTATTGCTGCCCCCCTCCCCCCCCAAATACTATACAGCACCCCCCCCCCCCCCCCCCCCTCCCCCCTTCCCTTCTTTCTTTCCTCCCCCCCCCCCCCCCCCCCCCCCCCCCCCCCCCCCCCCCCCCCCCACCCCCCCCCCCCTCCCCCCCAAATACTATACAGCACATGCTGTTGGTGCAAAAAGGAGGATATATCCATCACAGCAACTGGGTGTGTCTAACCTTCAGGAATTTAGCTCACCCCTTTTCACGCTATCCAAGCTGGCAGAGGTTCCTACAGGGAGTCCACCATTTAACTGGGCCCTGCGTGAAGAAGGCCTTCCTGTCCTGAATCTCCCCCAGACCCATTTCGGAGGAGGCTGGCATTTCTGGGCCACAGCTGAGTGCCACCAGTCTCCCTCTGGTGGCCACACTCAGGTGTACACTCATCACTAAGGTGTGGGGAGAACAGGCACTTTCACAAAGGTGTCAAAAAGGTAGCAAGGTTGACACATAGAGTGGGTTTTTTTTGGGGGGGGGGGATATTTCCACACTGGGATGAACTGCACCTGAATCAGTAGATGGCAAATGCAAGCTAGGCATTTGCCAAATCCAAAGAGGTCCTCACTCTGAATTTCAGAACAAGAGAACAAGAGGAAGAGGCACATCAACAAACACTCCAAGGGCAGAAAAATCACCCCCAGGAAGGACTGCCTTCTGCAAATGGCCACCTGAGTTGAAAAGGAGCAGCTAACAAACAGCAGTTTCAATTTCCAGAAGGATAGCGACTGATACTTGGGCCCTTCATGCCAGGGAGTAGGACTAGATCAGGTATGGGCCAATTTGGGCCCTCCCTCCAGGTGTTTTGGACCTCAACTCCCACAACATGGGTATGCAGATGAACCCTTGATGGACTGGTGTCCAGTTCCAAGAGGACCAAGACATGGGCCAACTTGGGCCCTCTCTCCAGGTGTTTTGGACCTCAACTCCCACAACATGGGTATGCAGATGAACCCTTGATGGACTGGTGTCCAGTTCCAAGAGGACCAAGACATGGGCCAACTTGGGCCCTCTCTCCAGGTGTTTTGGACCTCAACTCCCACAACATGGGTATGCAGATGAACCCTTGATGGACTGGTGTCCAGTTCCAAGAGGACAGAAGCATGGGCCAACTTGGGCCCTCCCTCCAGGTGTTTTGGACTCCAACTCCCACAACGTGGGTATGCAGATGACCCCTTGATGGACTGAAGTGTCCAGTTCCAAGAGGACAAAGGCATGGGCCAACTTGGGCCCTCCCTCCAGGTGTTTTGGACTCCAACTCCCACAACGTGGGTATGCAGATGACCCCTTGATTGACTGGAGTGTCCAGTTGCAAGAGGACAAAGGCATGGGCCAACTTGGGCCCTCCCTCCAAGTGTTTTGGACTCCAACTCCCACAACGTGGGTATGCAGATGATCCCTCAGTTGATGGAAGTGTCCGGTACCAAGAGGACAATGCCATGGGCCAACTTGGGCCCTCCCTCCAGGTGTTTTGGACTCCAACTCCCACAACATGGGTATGCAGATGAACCCTTGATAGCCTGAAGTGTCCAATTCCAAGATGACAAAGGGATGGGCCAACTTCGATCCTCCTTCCAGGTGTTCTGGACTCCGAGTCCCACAATGTGGGTA